TCTATGGATATGATAAATAATAAAACTGAACTATAGATTTGTTACAAAAGAACCAAAGTGGAATATGAGTTTTAAGGAAATTAGGTTTTTTTTGTTTTTTTTTTTTTTCTTTCACATCTACCTTCAAAAGACTTTGCCATTAGAAAAACAAATCTCATTTCGTCTACAGTATTTTTAACTACTTGCAACAAAAGAACTGCCTTTCCTGGCTAAACAAGTGTCAAGAAGGATGTTATTAGAACAGCTTTAAAAATAAGATGTCTTTGGGTTTAACAACTACAACAAAATGCAAATGGCAATAGCATTAGTGGCTTGAGCAATAACATAAATTAACAAAAAACTCAGAACCAAACATATTGTATCCAGTTTGTGGAAAAGCACAGAGACAAGAAACAAGCCTCATGAGACATCAAACCTCTCAGAGGTAGCTACTACTCTATTAAGTAAGCTTTGTGTAATCAAACAAGCTACCACAGCACAGAGCTGTTAATCCTATTGCCTTTTGGGAAAAAACACTGTAAGCAGAAATTTCTTAAATACCCCACTAAATTCAAGTATTTCAAGGTTGTGTTCTAATGCTTGATCTACCTTACCACAAATAAATCATAAAAAGCCTAAGGAAAAAAAGATGAGAGGTTATCAAAGTCATTGTCTTTTCTAGACCTGGGTCAACTTTCCCCCATCACTCCTGACGCATGCTTGCCTCTAGAGGTGACAGAATCTATTAATGGACATTTTATAAATAAGTTAAGAAAATCTATTTTCATGCTTCACTATAGCTAGGCATAAAGAAAAAGGTCAAATAGTTAACGTGAAGCCATCTCCTCTGCTAACATTTAAACTCACTACTTCTGGCAGTAATCACCCCAAGTCTGGAGAACAAGTTATTTGCATTCTTCTTTGCATCTGATCTGACAATTTCCACTTCTTTTTTAAACACCCTCAGGTTCTTTTTAGTCTTTCCTCAAAGCTCTGACCTCCTAGACTTCAGATCACCATTATTCTTCTCTAGACTTTCCTCAGCTAGACCATGTATCTTGTGAAGCTGTGACCAAAGGTCAGACATAGCATTCAGCTAAGGCTGTTCCTGTGCTATGCAAAACAAAAGGATGATTTCACTTATCTTTTGAGATCTACTCCAGCAGAACATTAGCTGGACATGAAGCATCTTTCTTGTAGCTAAAGTTTAACTTGTCCTCACAACTAAATAGGATGTCATTCATAGACTATGAAGTTCTCAATCACTGAACACAAATGCACTGAAACATAACTGAGTCAACTAAACTTATTCCCAAAATTATAAAAGCAATGAAGTAAAAAAAAAAAAGCTTATATTGTTTCAACTTTCCAAGTAACACTTTTAATTGTAAACTCTTCAGAGAAACAAAAACCTAAAAAGAAAGTTATTCTAATTCCCAGCATGATAGGTTCCTTAAATGTTACAGCAACTAAACGCATCCCAGCTTTTCTTGGTGTACTATGTTAAAGTACAACTTTTAATAATATAACAATAAAATATAACTTTACTTGTTCTTCTATCTTATGAGAACTTACCACTTACCTCATAAGGTTAAAGGTGCCTTTTCATTCTATGCATTTTATTATTCTTCTTAAATCTGTTTTATAAGATTAAGGTCTCTAAATATATAACTAATATTCACGCAGGATAAATTCCAGCATTGCCACCTATAAAACGATTGACCATCCAGCAGCTCAAGCCCTCACTTCACAACCTTCAAAGTAATTTTTGCTTCCAAAGAGCAGTTCAGGGCACAAAGCTCCAAGTACAGAAAATCCCATTTGAATTATTTAATATTGGTGTAAATAATCTCCAGCAACAAGAACTAAGCCTTTCCTCCCAGCTGTCACACACCCCTTACTTCTTATATCAACAACCCTGTTCTACTCTAAAAACCTTCCATCCAAACAATCTCTTGTCCTGAGAATTCATCCTGGGGAAGAAGCCAATTTACGTGCCTCTGTACACCAGAACTTATCCTAGGCCTCCCAACTTCCGTAACTGAATGGTGAGCAGAAGAAAAAAATTTCTGCAAAATTTGCTTTCCCCTAACCCTTTTCAAATCCTTACGCCTCCATGAAGTACATTTCCTAGATGTACTATGTGAGTGCATACGCAGTTACTCTTACTAATCTTGAATTGTAACACAGAAAAAAATGCTTTAGCAATTACTATACTTTCACATAATAACATCATTATTAGAAGACTTTTAGCATCAGCAGCTAGGCCACTGAGGCAACTTCTGAAGAACTACATTCATTATTTGATTAAAAACTGACTATGAGTTGAACAATGTGGCTTAACCTTGTTTTTCAAAACCCCAACCCTTGAATTCGTAATCAACACTGATGCAGTTTTAACCAACACAGAAGCACTCGATTACAACCTTGATCCAGAATACTTCCTTTACCAGAGGGTTCCAACTTACAAGTTTGTATAAGACTATTTCAAGGTCTCTCACAGATTCACAGAATCATCTAGGTTGGAAAAGGCCTTGAAGATCATCTAGTCCAACCGTTAACCTGGCACTGACAGTTCTCAACTACACCATATCCCTAAGCACTATGTTGATCCTACTCTTAAACACCTTCAGGGAACACCCACCTCCCTGGGCAGCCCATTCCAATGCCTAACAACCCATTCTGTAAAGAAATGCTTCCTAATATCCAGTCTAAACCTTCCCTGGTGCAACTTGAGGCTTCCCTCTTGTCCTATCACTTGTCACTTGGTTAAAGAGACTCAGCCCCAGCTCTCTGCAACCTCCTTTCAGGTAGCTGTAGAGGGCGATGAGGTCTCCCCTCAGCCTCCTCTTCTCCAGACTAAACACCCCCAGTTCCCTCAGCCTGCTCCTCGTACGACCTGTGCTCCAGACCCTGCACCAGCTCCGTTGCCCTTCTCTGGACATGTTCGAGTAACTCTATGCCCTTTTTGTAGTGAGGCGCCCAAAACTGAACACAGGAGTCGAGGTGCGGCCTCACCAGTGCCGAGTACAGGGGTATTCTTGTTGTACACTCCACTCAAAACTAGAAACTGAGTATAGAACTCAAGATTTTTCTTCTGGAAATCGGGACAGCAGTTCCAAAAAGATTACAGGGAACTAAAACTTTCCAGGTATCATCTCACTAAAAGTGAGGTTATGCTCCTTGATGGGCTTCCACTGCAAGGTTACTTTTAAAGTTTAGATTCACCCTTTACTTGAAGGAATGAAACAAAACACTAAAACATGTACTTGCATTAGAGCTGAGTCAGTTAGAAGCACTTCAGTATTTTTCTGACTTATGTCACTTTGAATTTGCCTTATACTTTATGTTGGCTTGTTTTAGTAATAAGGATAGTTTCCATTTTAACTGTATCAGCAATTTTTTTGGTCTTGAACTTTATTAAAAGTAAAGGTTTAGATGATGTAATAGGTGTTCTTACACAGTAAAAAAAGTAATTATTTATAACTTACTTAAGAACTAGCTAACTAAAGAACAAAACCACATCAGAAAATAAAAACTCTAGCACCAGCTCTGCCTTAGACATGTGTGTTTCAGTATTTCCAATGTATAAGAAGTTTGCTTTTAAATAATGCAATAGCCCCACACACTTCCGAACCTTGAATATATGCACCCATATTTGCAACACACCAAGCTCCCTGGCTGGCAGGTGTTCCAGATACCAGACTGCTTCTCTCTTTCCCTCTGCCATGTAGAGATGCAAGATATTCAGGGTGGGGGGAGAAGAAGCTACAGTATGTAATTTCACATTTGAAGTTAAATCTTACGACTGACACAGGCTAAAACATTTTTGAAGTTCAAGTGACTTACAGCAGTTCTGCAAATACTCCCCTTGGTACAAAAACAGATTTTTTAAAATTCTTACCTCCTGCCACTGCTTTCTACTCTCCTTTCTCATGCACCTCAGTTTATTTACCCAACACAACTATATTGATATTACTGTTTCTAGGGCCACAACATAAACCAGGTATTGAAATAATTCCGCAGGTTTTTTTAATGGCAGAAATAACTGAGAAATTCAGTTCCATGCACAGCTGTACCAGCACAATCTGGTGATCAAAGTCATCAGGAAGCTTTTTAACCTCATTCTGCTGCCAAAAGAAAGCATTTGTTCAACCCCACTCTTAAGGTATTTAGGTTTCTAGACCAGCTGAGGGTTTCTCCTTACTCAGGAAAGTTAAGACCGGACTTGCATTACCCAAAGCATTTAATCACCCTGTCAGTTAGGTGTAAAATACATGTACACTACTGAGTTTTACCTGCCTTCAGCAAGTAAGCCAGTAGTTCTTTAAGACGAGGAAATCAATCTCGCCTCTCATTAGCATCGATAGGGGTAGACTCCCTCCCTATTTCTACTTTCAGGTCATCTACCCAGCATGAGTTCCAGCACTTGTCAAACTTCTCAACTCATCAATTCTGCTGTAATCCACCACACTACTGATAAATAAAACAGATAAAAAGATAGCCTTTTTCCGGTGAGTTGGGAGTCAAACTGGACCCCTCCATGAGCTGATGATCCAAGCCAGCTCGCTTTCCCTACTGGAGGGGCTCTCCCCGCAGAGCAGTGAGGAGCCATTACCTGATGAGCTCGGCACCTCCCAGGGCCACAAGACTCTGCTCACAGAGGAGAGGTCCTGTACCGATTACACAGACATGCTGGGGAGAGCTGGACTGAAATAATCTTCTGCAACTAACACTCAAAACAAGAAGGCTGGGCTTCTGGCATCTGTATTTACCTCCAGAACACACCTGATGCATGACATTTGGCAATTCGTTCTGACTTCAATGCCTATAGTATCTGAATCGTCAAAACACCTTGGGGTTGCTACGGCACATTTCAGTGTACCTTCTAAAAACATTTCAGAAACGTTAGCAACTTACACTTTAACCCTAGCAAAACAGGTAGTACCACTCGCTCTCCGTGGGATTGGGAAGTTAAGTAACATGCCCCAAAACACAGGAAGTATGTAAGAAACACAAACCAGAGGCCCGACATCCTCAGTGCCTGCACAGTGCCCTGTCCGTTAACATTTCCCCAGAGTCCTCGCGTAGGAACGGTGAGCCAGGCCAACAGCCACAGAAGGAACCTTACCCAACCCTGCTTTTAATATGTACTTCGAGTGTTTCCAAACCATCGGGGGAAACCGATTACAAAAGCCCCACACAAAAGCTCTGCCGGCCAGAGCCGCCCGCTAACAGCCATCTGACAGCAGGGGCACGGAGCGGGGCTCGTCTGAAACCGGACCGCGACCGCCGCCCCTCCCC